AATGTAAAATTCAACCCGTCGACCGATTTTTTTTGCAAGTCGAAAGAACATTTCTTGTACGCCGTGTACACCAAAAATTAACTTTCTTAACGCACTTAATCGCATATGCCTGAACTCAAAATATATCCGAGTAATTTAAGGCGGGCATTTTCCGTAAATAAAGAAGAAGGAAAATGCAGTAATTAGTTGTTTATTTTACCCATCTCTAGTGTTATCGGTAAGGTACAGTGTTTACAGCAAAAAAGGGTAAAACAATGACGCGAACAAGGAGGTTACAAGCAAAGGGCGAGATGTGCGCCCTTCAGATGGGCAAACTCTGTTATACTGTCATCAATATCAATTACGTCCTTGTGCTCATATGCAGAATTGAAAGAGAACTCAATCTCTCGCCTGTCATGGTCCTTCGTAAAGGTGTTTGCAGTCTTTTCATACCGCTAAAGCTACGCTCAGCTGTGATGACACGTGATAACTAACAAAGTTATCAACTAACAAAGTTATCATACCTACATATACTCCAGGAGAGAATTGGAGTTGGCTTGGTCAAAAGTCTCAACCAAGGTTCTTGGCTTCACATTCGGGTCCATTTCACTACACTTAATCAGTAAAAGGATAAAGGAAAACCTAACACAAAAACACCTATATAAGGGGAAATATTTATCCCGATTTAATGATAAAAATACTTTCAGGAAATGAAAAAAAATCTACATATTTTTCCAGATTTCAGCTGTATGTATAGGCGTATGTGCGTACATGCACACTACATTCCTGGTAGAAGAAATAGCTGATAGGTTCCTGGGCCAAGCTTTATACGGGTAACATTTTGTTGCTGACAAAGAACCTCCAAAGCGTATTTTTTGTCTACTTTTGAAGAAAACGTGAATTTGCCATACGTGTATAGTTTGACAACTTTTACATAGAGGGCCAGCCCTGTGTCTTAATTTTTCGACCCCCTCACATTTTGTGCATTTTCAAAATTGACCCCCAAAATCAAGCCTCTTAGAAAATTGGGACTGCCGGGCATTTAGACGCGGAGAAACCGTGCTCGTGAGTCAACCACAGTACTCAAAACCGAGTGATTCCTAACCTCTGGTTATGAAACTCTGTTGTTTTCCCATTACTTTCCAATTCTAAGCAAGGATAGAATATTTTGAGTAGAATTCGTAAAAAAATTGTAAAATTAGAGCAAAGTTTTCTAAGACTCAGTGCACCACCATTATATCAAGCTGTGTCGGGAGTCTACTTCGAGTCGGCTAGAGACTTGATAAAATGGTCGCGTTTTAAAAATGAAAGCACCGTATTTTCGTTATTGCTTTGAAAAACTAACCGAGGCTAGTATGTATTCTTTGGATTAATAATACCTTTCCAGCCGGCTTTTGGACTGCCGGGTATTTAGCCTGCGTGAAAACGTGCCCGAGTAACGCACTAAACTCACGAAATTTTTCTAAGTGTCGAAACGGCGTCGACTCTACTCTATGCCCAAGAAACCACAACCGCTCAACTGCGAAGCCATTCCTGTTTTCCTGATCGCTTAGTAATTCTAAAATGGAGATAGAATACTTTCAAACGATTAGAAAAAGGGAATCTGAAGAAAAACTAAAGAAATTTCTGACTGCCGGGCATTTAGTTTTTTTAAGACCCTTCTCCGCTGCTAGCTGCCGGGCATATAGCCGAATCAAATTTTACGCCCTATTCGTAACAAAACCTGATCTGGTTGGCAGAGTCGAGAACACCCGTTTGTGTTTCTAGTACAAAACGAGTTCAAGCAATACGACATACCGCTCAAACTAGATAACTCACATTAGCACAATAAAGAAGGGAGAATACAAGGAATCGAAATCGCTTTATATGAAAAGAGGTGACAGGGCAAGACCTACTCGGCACAAACCGACGTGAGAGAACAAACACTTACGGAAACCAAGCGGGAAGACAGAACTAACACTTTAAAACGGTCTAAACGTACAGATCAAACCTAAAAATGAGACCTAACACCACAGAAACAAACTCTAAACGTAATAAAGAACAAACAAGACGAACACACCTATATAGAGTCAATGCGCCGTGTGAATCAACTAACGCGTGGAAAAAACGGGTGCGAAGGCAAACGCCGTGCGAATTACGGCCCACAACAAACGGGAAAAAGCGGTCCCTGATAACACCAAATATAGCCGGTTAACTGACGAGTCACGAACGAAAAGGAATAACAAGACGAACTAAAAACCAGACTTAAACGGACGGAAAAGACGTGAGAGTGCTAAAAGAATATTTACCATACGACTGACTTATAACAGAAATCGCGACCATAACTGTGATCCTTGGTTATCTCCTTCGCGATAATGGCACTGAGATTGTGGACGCGACTTAATTAGATTAGCTTAGATTGATCGCGATCGCGATTACTCACCACGATCGACAGCATAGCACTTGGAGATTGCCGATACGACTTAACTAAATCGTACCGCGATCGCCATCACCGCGTCGCGATAAGTACAGTGCCCCTGCGATCGCGATTATCACACCAGGATCGCAATCCTGGCATTTAGAACACGGAAGTGACTTTACTAAATCTCGCCGCCAATCACCAAGCCGCGATCTCGATCATCGCGTCGCTATCGCCAGCGCGATCTATTTTAATTGCTCCGCCATCACTGATATCATGGCGCCGCGATCGCTATAACCCGGAGTGATCGCGATCACCGCGTCGCAATTTATTTAAATCGCGCCGAGATCGCTGATAAATTTTTACAAGAGGTGAAGGTAATAAACTGGTCATCTGGTACACAGCTCTCAGCATAATGATCGACATGTAACCTCAAAGAAAACAAATCAGCAAGACAATAATATTTGAAATTAAACTCACCAGGTCGAGGTCTCGGCATCTGCCTCTTGGGTTCATAGGTACGAATGTCCATTGGAGAAACAGTGTTTGATAAAATTACTGGGCACCGCAGTCCATTGCTCTTATTTGTAAAGTGAATTCCTCTTGTTTTCCAGTCTGTCCAATATATTTTATTTTCGTACAATGTGAGAACAAAAGGATGTCCCAGTACACAGTAATTAGGAGACCTGAATATGCTCTCGCGATTTGTGCCATCATAATTGGCCTTGTCTATATAATATAAATTTGCATCTGTCCAGTATATCTTCTGTAAACTGTAGTCTATTGTTAGCCCATTAGGCCAGTGAACCTTTTTTCGGATAATAACCCGGCGATCTGAGCTGTCCATTTCAGCTCGCTCTATTTTGGGTTTTTCACCCCAGTCTGTCCAAAACATGTACCTAGAAAAAATAAAATCAAAAGAAATGAGAGGTTAGACTATGACACTACCCTTCATAAAGATTGTTTTAACAATAATCCGGCTGGAATGAACAATAGGCACAAACAATACCAAAAACACTGATCCTTCTTCATGATTTTATATGTAACCAAGTAGATTTTTTCGTTCTTATTATTATTACCTTTGTTTTAACTTGAAAGTATTTAAAAAACATATTGTGAGGCAGCCATTATAGGAAAAAACCACTTTGTTAAGGAAAGTACTGCTACGAGGCTAAGTTCTGCCAAGAGATTAGTGGCTGTTTTCTCTGAAATAAGCACAGTGATATGGTGGTCCACTATATTAATGCAAGTACACATGTGCCTGTCATAGAACGCCTAATTAATAATAGTTACTTCTTTTATGTTAATTTTTTTTGCTTAAGTATTTTTTTTTTGCCGTGTACGCTATTGCGTAACTTTTATTGTTGAAGTTGGTACTTTATTGTTCGTTATATGACTAATTAGGTAAAATATTCATTGTAAGCCGTTCTATTGGTTGTAAGCCGTTAATTACTAGATCGGACCTTTTACCATAGTCCCTTTTTTGCCACACCTTGCATTTTGCATGGGATTTGGAAGTTTTAGATATTAAGAAGGAGCCGCGTCGCTAAAAAGTCAGTGCGGAGGGCGCGTTCAGAGAGACTGTAACAAAGAGACCTTGAAGCACAAGTCGTTCTACTGAATCCCTTCAGCAGAGGCGTCCCTTTTAACTTTACGGCAAAAGAAGTCATTTTGTTGGGGGAAAGCAGTTTGATGTGCGGCAAAAGTTGAGAGAGGAGGTAAAGTATTGTGGAGACCGTAACATCTCTCCAAGAAGTCAGTGCGTTACATAAAATCTCTCCAAGAACGGTTGCGGAAAACCAAACTGAACTGGGCTAGAGAGCAGCGGCAGACCGGGAGACCGAAGCCGATGCAAGTCTGTGAAAGATATAAGAGAAAGGCGGCTACTGGAGTTTGGAGGTTTTGGGATCAAGTAAAAGTGGTGTTGTGTTCGGAAGGAGTCGCGGCGGGCTGGACTAAAGGAAAGACGAGGAACTCTGTTTTAACGTAAGGTGAACTAAAAAGGGAACTATTACTGCGTGTTCGAAGAAGATAATTTGAAAATATGTTGTAGACTAAGAAGTTCAAAAATCGCTGTGTATTTTGTGTAAAAAAAGTAATATCGCATTAGTCTTTAGAATTTAGAATAATTATCAAAAATAATATCGCATTATTCTTCAGAAATTAGAATAATTATCCCGTTTTAATTGTTTAGTGCAGTGCCCCTTCTCATCAGTTTCTTACATACATCAAAATCGATTAGGGTTGATTTATTTGAAGAATACTACCGCATGTTGACATCGTATTTGTTTGTTTGTTTTGTTGTTTGTCTTTTTTTTAATCGTTTTTAACCTTAAATACAATGAAGATTCATCGGGCAAATGTGACGGCTATATACATATCTTGTAAATAAATCCACTCTTAGTTTCATAAAGTAATTCACGGCATTACCGTACTGCAGTGGAACCCCGCTCTACGGACACCCGCTTAATACGGACAGTTTCGTTTGTCCCGACATATATTTTCTCTAAAATTAACCCGCTTTATACGGACACCGGTTAATACGGACAACGGACACTTTCCTGTGTCCCGATCAAACTCTCATATATTGTCAACCCCGCTCTACGGACACTGGTTATCTGCACACTGGCTATTTTCATTGTCACAATTATGTGATAATTGTAGACATTGTATCCTGTTCAAATAATGGCAGATTTTTACGGGTGAATAAAATTTTATTACTACAGTACTAAGAAAAACAGTAACAAAGTAGCGTGACATATTTGATTTTGAACAGTCTGTCTTTCTTCCGGTGTTTGACTGTTTTACTACGTATAGTCCTTTAATAAAGTTTTCTGCCTCCTGTAACACACGTTTCACTTCCTTGGCTTTTTGTTGCAGCCATTGCTCTTAATCTTCTTCCTCTTTGACGCTGTTTGCTCCCTGTGAGCTGTACCAGGATCATCCTCCGCTCGTATTGCTGGGTTGTTGCTAACGTCTAGTAATTGTTCAAGTAAATCTACGTGTTTCCGAGGACCATCAAAAATGTAAACACATGGTATTTCCGTACCAAGACCTCCACCCCGATTGACTGCCTCTCCAAATACAGTTCAGTTCATATCAGTTCTACTGACCTTTGGTTGGTAGACTTTGAAATAAAATGAGTGACTATACCAGTGCGGTTTTTGGTGTTCGCAAGGTGAAATGGAATGTGGCCTATAACTGTTACAGCTAAGAAATTAAACAACGTTTTCTCGTAAAACTGTCTCCTTTGGCCTTTATATCGATAAAACATGTGTTCCTGACGTTTTCTCTGAGAGTCCGCTTAATACAACCACCCGGATTAGTAATACGGACACTATGGCATATGTCCCCCTGGTGTCCGTATTAACCGGGTTCCACTGTATACATTTTACATGTTGTAAAAACCCTGTCACCTCTAGGCAATTTTGAAAATTATGACAAACTGCCTTCATGAGCTTGCATTTAAATTTTTAAAAATACCATGACCAACCAGCTCTGAAACTTTAAACACAAACACAGGCTACACGTAGTCAAGAGTCTGAATTCATATCAAATCAAACAAGGTAGTGATTTAGGACATTAAATTTGTACTCTGTTATTAGACAGTGTAACTAAATCTTCAGCGGATAATTAACAAAACATTCATTGGTTTCTGATTTAAGAAAAGGTCAAATGAAATGTAAGGCTTTCCTATTGTTCGAGACCATTAACAAAGTCTTCTCTAAATACACCTAATTCCAAAATGGCGGTGGAGCGGGATGATCTGTGGAGAGCCGCGCGGAAACGAGGCATCGAGGGTCAGGTCAAACATAACAATTATGGCGTCCTTCGCGTATGGTCCATCGTATTTACCAGAAGAAGACATTCCTGGCAGTTCTTTGAACGGCAGGGATCCGAATCGGTTGAAAAATATCGAGCTTCAATTTTGGTTGAAGTGCCGTGGTGATTCTTGCAAAGGTTTAATCACCAAAGCACAACTTTGAAAGCGGTAAGTGATATTTGTTTTCCGTCGCAATTTGTCGTTGCTAAGGGACCTTAAAGGTAAGCGCCTAATTCGCTCTGTTCTTTTACAGCGTGAATGAGTATTTGAATGCCAAAACCGATCATCTTCTGGTCGACCCGGACGTAATAAGTGACAAGTTTGTAAATGATCTTTTATCACTAAAGGAATTCACATCAGCTGCTGTGGAACATGGCTGAAAATATGAGCCAGTTGCTTTAATTTATTATCCAGGGTAAAAAATCATAATTTTTCGAAATGTGCAATTTTTAAATGATTAAATAGAGCTAATCAAAAGCTTTCTTTTAAAAAAAAATCCCAGGAAAAAATGTTTTTTCTGTGCAGACTTATGGAGCGCAAAAGTTTTTTCTATGCTAACTACTTTTAATTGATCGTTGACAAGTCCTGTCATACTTGATACGCATGCCGCTGTTGAACCAAGCTGATCACACAATTTGACAGAAATCGTGGTCTACAAGTATAGTACCCACTGTTTTTCCCTGGATTTTGGAAGTGAATGCTTCCAAAGAATAAAAAAAAGCTTTTCCGTTTTCGTACAAGACTCCAAGACGATAGAAGATGACAAAATCGTATTGCAAAGAGTGGGCTTCGAAATTAGCAGAGAGCGACAAGGGCTACTACTACAATCAAGAAAAATGGCTAAAAGATGACAAAGCTCCTGAAGAACCATTGAAACCACCGCGGAATCGAGTTTAATGAGTTTCGTAGCGAGCGGGACAAGCTTTTTTGGCCGCGAAGCGGTCAGGCGAGCGACGAAGTCGCGAGAGGTCCCGCGCCATATAAAAAGCGGACGAAGGACTGTTTTGAAAGTCTATTGTAGCGGGAGAGAAGCTTCAAGAAAAACTCCAGGAAGCGGTTTGTTCTCAATTTTTCCAGGGAAGTATCAAACTTTTAGAAAATGTATCGAGTAAAAGTGGGCTTGGCTCAACTTGGCTTGTCTGGTGCGAAAATGAAAACTGCCCGTCGCAAGACAACAGAAAGGATCGAACAGAGCAGAGCCTTTGAAATAAATTGTTCATCTGTTGCCGGGTTTCCTTTTTAACCTTTTCCTGCTGTGTCACTATTGTTGTCCCTTCTCTGGTATGCATCAACATTGACA